TAATACAACTTTCAAGGACTTGGAAGTGGTCCAGAAATAAGCGAACAGCCGAGGAAAATTTGGGATAAAATTCGTGATCCAAAGTCCACCATTACCAGATATTATCCCCGAATACCGCCAAAATCCATTGATAATCGCTAAATATCCCTCCGATTCCCCAAAATAAAATCAATTAACAGAATATTTTCCGACGAATGCTTGAGAATCGCTTCTCATTGTCAGAAACACTTGAAGCGTATCTCTGTACCAGCAAAATATCGTGGAAAATCTTTGCCGAAGAAACTTCAAAGACCCCTGAACAATTTAATCTCGTGCTTTCATCCAGAAGTGAAGAACAAAGTGAAAAAAAAGAAGAAGAAAAAAAAACATGTAATTCCCATCTCCTGACTCCAGAGGGTAGAGTAACGAGAGAGGAATGGACAATTGATTTATCTCCGTGTTGAAAACTTCATTTTCGCATGGGTGTCCGCACGTTTAGTTGAATTAGTTGATCTCCTACAGTACACCACCATGAGGAAATTCACTTGTACAGAGCCCTCACCTCCTAATTAATGCATTTATTCCCTGGCAATCCAATGTCAGATAGTTATAGAGATTATATATCCTAGAAACACAATACCAACCTCACCTCAATATTAAGACAACCGTATAAAATAAAAAAAAAAAAACCCACAAATACCCATTGAAAAGATGGGGACATTACTGAAAGGAGATTGTTAATCCGCTTATATCTTCAGGTTTATGCATTTTTTGATGCACCAGGAGGGGTTTTCCCTCATGTCAAAGGGATGAGAGAGTTAATCGGCTCTACCACTGGGTCACCATTTTTTTTAGTTTAATCAGTGCAACAATGTTTGGAAAAATAACGAAGTGAATTTTTCTTCCGTCAGACAACTGTCAATAACTCTCTGTAGACAGGGAACACATTCGAATTCAATGGACATTCCGCTTTCGAACAATGAAACCCAGGTCTATCAACATTTTCACTCCAGATGGATTTATTTTCGCTGCTGGATAAATGGACAGTTTATGAAGGGCTTTTATCAATTAAAATTTTTATCCTGCTAGCTATTCCAGATATTCTTTATAAATGCAATCCCTCATCCAGTGGAGGCACTACAACTGCTATTAATGTTGTTAATTGATCGAAGTAAGGGTAATTGTTGTTTTTTATGGAGTCATGTTCCATCTGATTTTATATCCTCGGAGTCACTCGTTCAGTTGGAACATTTTCTATCGGTTTTATGTGCTGTTTCAGGACGAATAAACTGGGAAGAACTTGTGTGTATTTGTTGTTTACGGCGTCATTCAAAAATTATTCAACAAATTAAATGACTCCCGACCCCATCAACGTATGAGAATTGATCTCTAAAAATTGTCATAAACGGAATATTCAGGAGCATTTGGTCACCTTAACAAATTCAGGTTTATGTGGTCTATCAACGGTTTCATTGTTCCTGGAATAATTTGTTATTGGTAAATGGATAGGCGAATTATTGTGATCAATAACAATTTTGAATTAACCGTTGGGTTTTTTTTTTATATTGAAATAATTGAATTCATGGTACAGTGGAGGTATCGTAATTGTAGATAATCGGTTGAAATGGGAGTAATTGTTGATGGCGGGCTGTAATTTTTGGAATGACATGTTTCAGACCGTTTTATGGCTTTCGAAGGAATTCTCCATGGGGATATTTTCCACAGTTTGCATGCGTTTATGGGATGAGTTTATATGTATTGCGACGACATTTTATTGCATCTTTCGGAAATATCACTGGAAGGAAATCACCGAGACCGCATGAAAATGGGAAAACTGACCTCTTAAAACGAAATGTTCCGGAGAATATTCAATATTTGTTCATCTCAGCGAATAAATGTTTATTTCCCGGAATTTTGCAATGAATATTTTACTCCCGTCTTTTTTTAAATTCCGATGGACAATTTGAATTTCTCTCAATATTCGGAATGTTCATCGATTTTTCAAAAATAACATGCGAATAAATTCCTGCAAATACCTTGACATTTAAAATATTCTATCCACATAAATATTTACGTGCGCTACACGAAAAAAATCTTGATTTCCTTGACTTGCGAAACGTCTTTATCACCAAAAATTCCCTGAAAAATTGAATTCCCGTGAGTCAATTGAAAGGAAAAAATCTGGACCATTGGAAGCGATTATTTGCAGTAGCAAAATAGCAATTAGAATGCATGAAACTGGTACCGAGTATTTGTACAGTTGAAATGAAACTCTCATTAGACCCAAATTGGCGGTCAGTGAATTTCCCCTGTTAATCCACTAAAACTTAGCGAGTTTAAAGTTTAAACGGAGTATACGAGTGATTGATGTGCGCAGTGAGAATAGAAATGCAGGTGATACATGGGAATTAGGTATTGAAACACAGTGGTGAGATTGACCGTTTCTGAAATTGATGTGGTATCGAAGCCCCTTGCCTCGTCCACACACAAAGATCCCTGTGGTTCCGTATCCAAGCTATCTATCTCTACCCTCTGGTTGCGACCAATTACCCGTAATCCTATCGAATATACAATTCGCGGACACGATGGCTGTGCACTGATAACCGAACCATCGAATGACCAACCCTGACCCATCGATATAACCGATGTACACATGGACCAGTGCATCACCCAATTGCTCATCTTATCGTCTTGTAAGCAAGACCCCAATGCGTAATTTCACCACTTTGACATGAGATCTGATCGACCGAAAACATCAGCCCCCAAGCCTCCCCATCACAAACCACCCTATCCCCTAAATTAATAATTAATAATTAATAATTAACAATTTTTTCAAATTATTCGGAAATTGGTAAAACTGGGAAATCAACATTGAGTCATTTTTTTCGGAGACCCGTTTTTCGACGATATCTCGAGATTGAAGCGAGATAATAATATTTTCAAAGATACCTTTTTTGACGATCTCATCTTTTTCTATAGAAAATGTTCATGCTGAAAATTCGCTATGTGCCTTTGCTGCGGAGATATTCCATAAAAACTGGTCGTGGATGAAGTTGCAGATGTTAAAACTCATTAAAATTGTCATTTTTTGTAGATGATTTTTTAATGGAGTCTTCCACTCATCTATCTCGATTGATTCCATTTATTCACCAGCATTTTCCTTTCCGTCCATGACGTCTAATGGAAAAGCACTCCCTCCAAAGGTTCTGGCATAATCTTCATGCGAAAATGTTTCAGAAATCCGCAACCCCATGACAAATTCAGAACCTAATCTTCAGAGTAACCACTTCGTTGGCCCTCCCCCTATTCACTCATAATCTTAAATTGTTGATTGATATCCCACTCATAAACAATACAATATTGCTCTGCCCATCTATCATTCAACAATCGCTCTTCTCATTATTCATAAACTCGGAAAATCCTTTCCTCTTCTTTTTCTCTCTCAGAACTCCAGATCAAGAAGTTCAGGATCCATCAATACGCATCAATCATCCCGCAGATGCACCACGGCATTACCCAATCGTGCATCTCATGACATTTAATAAAAAACTTATGCACCTCTGCAGCTGCTTGTTATCATTCCTCAGAATCTGGAATTTTTCAGGATAAATCTCAGGACGAGGGTAAATTTCCTGAAAAACTTGAAGACAATTCATGACATCGCGAAAGTGGATCAATTTAAATCAATCCACATAATCCTCGATATAATCAATCAATATAAAAGCTACTGCCCAGTAAAATGACAATAAAATAATTAAACAACTGAATAATTAATATTGAAATATCCCAGGTTTATAAAATTATGCGGAATCGCTCCTGGAGATGACGAGTTGAGTGAAATTTCCTCAAGATCTTAATGAAGAATTGATTAATAATTTTTTGGGGGGTATCTCCTTTGAGATAATGAGAAGGGGAAAAATAGTTGTTGGGGGTGGAATGAGGAGGAAGAAGGGAATTTAAATAGAAGAAATTCAGAGGGGTAGTGAGCGTGCTGAACCGAGGGGAGGCTTTGAGGGTCGCATTGATTTTGTCTAGACAGGGTGGAGACTGGCCCCCGGAACGTATCGTCCCTGTCGCTTTGGCACACTCGACGCGCACCCATCACACCGGCTACCACCGGGTTAAAGTATTCCCCTGTTTGTCCCATAATCACCTTAAATATCCATCAAAATAAAGTGTCAATGACCCAATAGTTCCACCATGTTCGCCAAAAAATTGTGGAGCCAATGGAGATGTGAAACTTGAAATTTCACTCATGGATTGGATAATACTGTAGTGAGTAAGTTTTTTCCAACAACACCCACTATCATAAATTTTCAATATCACTCCTGGAATTTGAATATTGCCACTCTCCGAAGCCCGATACAGTCCCCAATATTGATTGCATCTCATCAATGGAGGGGTGATTTTTTTTTAAAACTATTTTGCAAGAATAACGTGAAAGTACCCGTGGAATGGATATTTCATCAGTTACATAGATCCCTAACAACAATCTCGTTATCTGGTTTTCCTTCTTTTCATCGGAATTTTTCCCGGCTTTTCACTCCACCCCCGGGTCTCCAGTACCTACTTTTCATTATGATTATCGATAATGTTGTTTATTCCTTATAAAGGATGACAACGACAGGGACGGATGCACGAGCTCCATTATTTCCCCTAGTCATTCACCCACGGACTCCTGGGTAGCAGAAAAGCGGCTTTCTCCATTTTTTTTTTTTTCGTTGCTCTTCACTTTTTCATTCATTTTTTTTCACTTCCGGTTGGGAGTGTCTCAGTACCTTTTTCCACCTTTCCGGTTCTCCCCGGCGAAGATGCACTCAAAACTCTTTTTTCCAACCCTTGATCATCCCCTCCTTTTTTTTTTTTGGTCTCAGGCGAAATTATCGTAGTGGATTCAGGCACTTCCGGAAATTTTTGATGACGTGACGTGATGATGTGTGACGTGAACATTTATTTATATTATATTAGATTTATATTAAATCTTTGATCTAATGAATGATATTTTTTTTTTATTTTTTCAGGGGCACCCTCGACACCGATAATGCCAGGTGGTACGCCTGGAACGCCCTCCTCAAAGGCAAAGGTAAACTTTTCACTGGTGAATATTATTTTTCACTGATGGAAAGAGGCTCTGTATTTTCACTGAGTAAAAGGCTTTTTAATTGCATAAGGGAAATAGAATGAAAATACTGTTATCCCATTATTCGAGGGTCGTCACTTTCAATTGTGCCCTTCGCAATTTCAAGTTGGTCAGACAATTGAATTTGTAGACTGATAATTATTCGAATAAATAATACCGATCATGATGGAATTGTTTAATAATAACTGCTCGACGATTTTGCAAAATATTTCTCAATTCTTACGGCAGAGTTAATATATCGTATTGAGTAATACAAACGCAGAGAAAATTCAGTGGAAATTGCATGACAGTTCCGTAATTTTCGACCTATTTGATCCGTAATTTACGTAAATTACGAATGCCGCGCAATTTTTCTGTAATGTCAGGGAAAAAACTGAGACACATGTAAAATTTAAATTGAAATTCTTAATCATCTTAATTTTCAACGAAAAGATATATATATTACGTATTTTCCAGTGAATTTTCCTCTCTGGAAAACCTTCACCAGTTCGAGTAAATTATTCATCCAATAATTATTCATTTATTTATTTTCTCATTATGAATTCATGTCACTCTCCAGTGATCGGATAAACAAATCTTCAGCGATAATTTATAATTAACCACCAACAAGTGACAGTACAAATTAAATGTATTGAATTAATTACTGAATTAAACTACCGTAAAAGGTTGAGAATTCAAAAAAATTCACTCCGAATTCATAAAATGAGACGCACGACTATAAAAATTTATTTATAATTAACTAAATATTGATGAACCCAAAAAAAAAGGATTGAGGAACAAAAAAAAATGAAAAGCGAGAAGATATCCGCAATAACTCCTCATTATCATTAACGCTTGCTTTTGATTTAAGGAAAAATTGATGCTGAGGACAAAAGTGGTGGTTGCACTCTATCCATTTCGGGCGATCGAGGGTGGTGACTTGTCACTGGAGAAGGTAAATACCCCAGTGGACGTCCAGAAAGTGGATCTGGCTTTGTGCGTGTAATAGAAACCGAGTGGAGTAGAAAAAAAAAAGAGCGTTAAAATAGAGATGAAAGAAAAAAAAAAGATATATCTACGAGACGTGAAAGCAAACTCGGCCGTTGAAAGCAACGTCGTTTGATATGAGCATTAAATTTTCAGGGCGCCGAATACGAGGTTCTCGACGACTCGCAGGAGCACTGGTGGAAGGTCAAGGATGGGCACGGGTATGGTTCCTTCATAAAAATTTTTCTTGATGAATTTTCTCTCTTAATAAATAGCTGGATTTTCTCTTTCTATGTAAAAATTCATTCCCCTTTGGCCGAACAGATCCATCGGGTATATACCAAGTAACTACGTTAAAGAGAAGGAACTCCTGGGACTGCAAAAGTATGAGTGAGTATCTTTTCATCATAAAGCCCGTGCTCTGCACGTCAAAGAGATCCGATCTGATCTCGAGATTTTATTTATAAAATCCAATGAAAGCCCCTCGCACTGAATACCAATACCTATTTTACCTTCAGCGTAATTCCCTGTTACCTAGTGTTTTCCATTATTCACATTTATCCGCGTTATTTTCACCTGCTAAAAATACAATGAACGAATTATAATCTAGATATTCCTGAAAATTTATTCGTCAAATAGAGAATTTAAAAATTACTGCTATTTTCCAGTGGTGAAATTATTTCGAGACTTGTAATTTGTCTGGCGTGCATTCTTGATGAAAAGTTTAAAGTTCACAAGTGTACATCATTTTTCCGTGGAATAGAAAAATAGAGTGAGTAATCTTGCAATGTATTACAGATGGTATGTGGGCGATATGTCACGGCAACGTGCTGAGTCTCTCCTGAAACAGGAGGACAAAGAGGGTTGCTTCGTCGTTCGCAATTCATCCACCAAGGGCCTCTACACACTCTCACTCTACACTAAAGTGTGAGTAGTTACATTCGTTCTTTCCCTTTTCCATCCAACCCTCCCTTCAAAACGTAAAACAAAAAAAAAAAAAAAAGTGGGAAAAAAAGCAGTTCTTGCACGGTGGGTTTATTACCGTGGTTGGAGAACTGCGGATGCTGTGAAATATTTATCATGCTTTTACGAGGGCCTCTCCAGTGCCAAACACACGTCACTGAAAATGAATAAAACGAGCAGTCGAAATGTTTCATGAATTTCCTCCTTTTTTTTCGTACTCCTCAAAACTCTCACCATTCTGTACGCCGCCTCCCCCCCCCCGGCCCCTTTTTCATTCCCATTTTGATTATTTATCTTTCTGTACAGGCCCCATCCACACGTCAAGCACTATCACATCAAACAAAATACACGTGGTGAATTCTATCTGTCAGAGAAACACTGCTGTGGATCAATTCCCGATCTAGTGAATTATCATCGTCACAACAGTGGTGGGTTAGCCAGTCGTTTGAAAACTAGCCCCTGTGATCGACCAGTTCCGCCCACTGCTGGTCTCAGTCATGGTAAGGCTAATGTCTCACATGATTCACCATTATTTTTTTTTTCTTTTGAACCAACCAGATAAGCCCTGTGATCAAGAAGTTGAACACGTCTTTGACACCCCCTCAATCGTACCTCTGTAATTCCAGAAACGACCATTTATCCCCCAGTTTGATGACCTCTTGAATGTTAAACTGCGTTAAATTTCGCCTCAAGATCCCGATGTGATAGTTTCCCTGAAATGCAGCATTTTTTTTTTTCAATTTTCCATTGGCATTTGAATTTTTATTGGCACCCCGGGAACCGTTTGATTCCCATGTCAACTAGATTGTTTGCCTCCGTGACGAAGCTTTTGCCGCGATAGTCTCACTGTCTCGTGTGATACAGATAAATGGGAGATTGATCCAGCTGAGCTTCATCTACTTGAGGAACTTGGCTCGGGGCAATTTGGTGTAGTTAGACGTGGAAAATGGCGGGGCTCTATCGATGTCGCGGTTAAGATGATGAAGGAGGGCACCATGTCTGAGGACGACTTCATCGAGGAGGCTAAAGTCATGACGTAAGTCGAGACCAAAAAGCAATCCCCAGTAGTAAGAAATTGAAGGGTAACAAGGAATATCTCTGAATCTATGAAAAATATCGAATTTTTTCTCAGAAGTTCTTCTTTAAAATCCAATGAAAGCTACAAAAAAGGTATTTACCCACTTTCGCTGTACCATAGATTGAGAGATATACTCTGGAAATATATTCCTCAAATCCGCTGCAACTGAATTAAATAAATGACTTGATATTTCCAATAGTGGAATAAATAAGACTGGAATTTCAATGAGAATTATCTTTAATGGTGAATTCCACTTGAATAGACCGGAATTTAGAAAGAGTATAGCGGTCTTCTGTTAATGATAGAAACAAGGCAATATAATGTGTCCTCACATGGTATCTCAACCCCAGGAAACTCCAGCACCAAAACCTAGTCCAGCTTTACGGAGTTTGCAGTAAAGATCGACCGATATACATAGTCACAGAGTACATGAGACACGGATCTCTGCTAAACTACCTCCGTCGACATGAAGCTTCATTGTCGTCGAACGTTGGTCTCCTACTCGACATGTGTATACAGGTAACACCGAACAAGAGTAAAAGATAAAGGGATTGCGGGATGATACGATAAAAAGGTGGAGTATGTTAATTACGATGGTGTTTGTCACAGGTATGCAAAGGAATGGCATATCTCGAGAGGCACAACTACATTCACCGTGATTTAGCAGCTCGCAATTGTCTCGTTGGCTCTGAGAATGTCGTTAAAGTTGCTGATTTTGGATTAGCTAGGTACGTACTCGATGATCAATACACGAGCAGCGGTGGAACAAAATTTCCGATAAAGTGGGCGCCACCGGAAGTACTGAATTATACAAGATTCAGTTCAAAGTCCGATGTCTGGGCATACGGTGTACTCATGTGGGAGGTATTCACGTGTGGTAAAATGCCCTACGGTCGTCTTAAGAATACGGAGGTTGTTGAGAGAGTTCAGCGGGGCATTATTCTCGAGAAACCCAAGGCATGCTACAAGGAAGTTTACGAGGTAAATATTATAAATATTCAAGTCTTCTTGAGATTTCACGAGAGATATTCGCGGGGTGGGGGAGGACTCTTCGTCGAGGAGATCGTCCAGGAATTTCAAGTACGGGGAAGAAAAATTGAAAAATTAGAATAAACCTGGAATTTTATATTTCCAATCCAAAATCTATTTTCATCCGATTATATCATCTGCGGTGGATCAATAAAATATACGAAACTGTTTTCTTTTATTTGTCGAAAAAAAACAGGAATTTTTAACTTTGATATATGATATTGACAAAATATTTTTCCCAAGGGACAGAATTTGTAATTAAACTCGTTCTACCACTCCAGTAGAGGAGTAAATGTGTGGAAAATTGAATGTATTTATTTCATTGGGTCACTTAGGCAACGTGAAAATTGTGGTCGGTCAGAATAATTTAAAGTATTGAAGAGAGAGTAAAAAGCATTTCAGTGTTCGATTGGTTAAACGTAATAGAGCAGAACGTCGAATTCCCTACATTTCGTTGAATAATAAATTGCTTTGAAAGTGGTTTGAGGGGAAAATATAAAGGGACAGTTCTAGAAGTTGTTCCCCAAAATAAAAATTTCACGTTCAAAATTCCCGAAAAATAAAGATGAAAATAAATTAACTCGCAGGCAACTGAGCCAATTCGTTCTTTTCTTTTTGGGACATTGTTGCGACAATGAAAAATTGTTAATAAATGATTGAAACTTTAACCCTCAGGTAATGAGAAAATGCTGGGCCCACTGTCCCGAGGTGCGGCCCTCGTTCCGAATCCTAAAGGAACAGCTGATAAACGTATCTCAGGGCTTAATCAATGATTGACTCAACCTTTTGCGGTGTTTGCGCCTGTCCTCATCACCAACTGGACGCACGATATTACCACCAAAATCACCTTCACTCGGACGCTCACCCTCGATAGCACCATCTCTAAGCTCATCATACAATTCATCAACTCTGCCAGTACGTGGCAAAGATAAAATACGTGAACCAGCATTATTACCAAATTCAATTGATTTTTTACATTTATCATCGACAATACCAGTTGTTACTGGAAAATTGAAGAAGGACGAGGGTTCACCATCACCGAGCAAAGCTGGCAGTAAAAGTGCTAGTCAACCATCCTCGAGTGGCTCGTCGAATGTTTGTGAAATATGTAGTTCGTACGGTCATCCGTGGATTGAAATATGTAATGCCATTAGAGCTACCAGAGGCAAATGATTTTCATTATACGATACTTGATGATCGCTTTCATCTGTTCATCATTCATTTGATACATCTCATCGTTATTTTTATTCTACTATTTCGCATCTGATTTTTATTTTTTCATCATTTTTTTTAGTTTCACAAATATCGGATTAAAATCAGTCGTACTCACTCGTGTCTGACATCTTAACATTAACTTTAATTCTGTGGAACTACACGTTCACTCATTAATTGAACGGAAAAGGCCTGAATTCACCGCTTATGGAAGTTACATGCAACGAAAAAAAAAATAACAATTAACCAACGTTACAAGAGACACAAGAAGGTTTAATCAATTGCGTCCATACAGGTACATTTTTTTTTTCATAAACAAACTTCCGGAGTATGCAGATATCATACGAGGCAGAATAAAAAATGAGAAGTACGCACGAATCGTGCATCACAATTAATATTTTTAGGAAATAAAAAAATTTACCTCATTTTCTAGGGTAAAACACTGTAATTGCGCATATTGCGCCTGATGAAGGATTTAAAAATGACGGACATATTTTCGTTTCACCGTTAGAGATTTTAGTGGAGGTGTAATTATTGTCAAGCTCAATTTATTTCAGTAGCAAAGGGGTGGTCTGAAATGAGTCAAATTCCATGACAATCCATCATCTTTATTTTTTTTTGTGAATATCTTTGAATCTGAGAGATACGAATTTTTTATCCAAAGGTATTCACAGATGAAGAATAATCGGCAATTGTTTCCACTCTTCCCTTACATTTTGACAACGAAGGAAAAATATTGAAAGTCACATAAATTTCTCCTTTTTTAATAAAAAAAAAAATCAGCACCGATAGCACATGGACTCGCCTTGTGAGTAGATGCTCATTGAGCTCACTGAAAATCATCGTTCCTCTCGAAACATCTCAATTCATGAAACTTAATATTAATGATTATGAAAAAATAAGAGTTTTGACTTAGCGTAAGCGAAGATGAAAAAAAAAAATGAGTGAAAGGAAACAAGAAATTATAAATCTAGATTTTTGCCTTACTGAGAGTGTGAGACAATTTTTCGACAATTTCCACGATAAACATTTGTAAATACTCCGCAGGAGATCTTCCGCGTCGAACACGATGGGTACTGATAATTCTTTTCCACTACTTATGAAATTATTTTTGCCCCTTCCCCTTAACCGATAAATCAATGAATCTCAAAAGAAAAAAAAATCGATGTTAGCTCATTTACGATAGCGATGAGATTAATGAGAAAACTATTAGACGAATCAACGTGTTGTTTATTGAAATTTGAAAAAAAAAAACAATGTTTTTAAAGAATGTAAACGTTGAGCATTATACGATTTTTAATAGTTTTTATAGATTTACCATTTGTTTGGAATAATTGAGAATTATTAAGATTGAATATTGAGTAATTTTGTTAGATTAATGAAACAAGGATTGAGTGGTCTTGACGTTAGTGTCCCTGAGATTAACCGAAACATAAAAATTTTTGCATTTCCAACAGTTGCACGATAGCAACAATGTTTATGCGTGTCAGTGAAAAGAAATAAATAACAGAAACAACATTTGTAATACGGACCCTGTAACGACAATATAAACATGTATGCGAGTCTTCAGACCATAAAACGTATTTTAAAGAATTCCAGAGAAAAAAAAAGTAAAGGAAAAATATGAAGAACTAGTCCTCATTAACGATAGGAGAATATCCATTGGATAATTACCGAGACTGCTCCACGTGTCCCCATCCCCCATTTCACCCGAAAAAAAAAATGAAAACCCTAACCACTTCTTGCATATCTCTTCCTCGCGTATGTGTCTCGACGAATTATTGTAATCCAATAGCTATTATCAATTATTAATGAAATAACAAGATATTAAAATAAAATCAGATGCATTATTTTCATGCATTTTATAGACACCTAGATGTAATAGATATTTTTTTCCTCCGTCGGCTGTACACGTATTATAATGTATACAATTTATTATATGACAAACAATGCAATTCAACATGATTTCTAGATGAAAATGGAATAAAAAAAGTGATAAGAAATCAAACGTGCCCAATTATTCTTCAACTATTCTTTGTTGACACATTACCACCATTTTTCAGTACTTCAACCGAATTATTGTTTTATCAAACAATTTGATTTAAAATGTAATCACTTCAAAGATAATAAAGCACTTGAGAGCTCCAGCTAATTACCAGTTTGAATTTCATGACGGAAGTAACAACTTCAGTTCTAAATTGCCAGCACTAGCTGAAAACCATCCTCGGAGTTGGTCCCATCGTAAACTAAATGCCATTTTTCAGGCAGTAAATACCGATTTGAATAGCTGAGAGAATTCATCGCCCTTTGGAATCTACTAGCGCCATGTGAGGGTGTACAGGTTCCTGGCCTCCAGTTGATAAAGCAGATATTCCACGACTAGACCTGAATTTAATCCCCCAAAATATTCCACCGTAAAATAAATACCGAGTCTAAGTAATCCACCAATTAATTACATAATTGTCAGGGCAATTGTTCGTTGAGGAATATAAACGGGAAGAAGTAAAAATGACGTGTGATTGGTGAATGGCAGGAGAAGAATGATTTACCATTGGCTGTGGTGTCCTCCACTGATCCTCACATTATTTCCAACCTGCCTGTCCCCCAATCCGGCTCTGGAAACGTCATCTATCCCATCACCATACCTTTTTCGTAATAAATAAACCAGATCCATTTACTGTGATAAATAGCAGCTCATGGTCGTCACATTGTTGTAGTAATTCACCTGTGTAAAAGTGCTCGGTTGTTTCGGTATTATTCCATTGTTGAAATAATAAAGTCAGAGTGGGGATTTTGGGGAACGTGGAAGGTAACATGGCAACCTTCTGATGACGTTTGTGCTCGTCCGAAGGTTTTTTACTACCCGAGGAGAATCAACGACCAAATGTTCGTCATAAACACAACTGGCAGTTGACCAGTTTTACCGTAATTGTTTATCAGTTATTTACTGTGATTTTTGGTAAATCGTTGAGGATTTATTGTTTGATAACTGCGAGTGGAATTTCTGCAATCATGATGAACATGTGGAAAGTGCGGGAACTCATGGATAAGGCGTAAGTTTCGAATTCCTTTTCTCTTTTGTATCTGTTTAAATATTTTCTGTAGCGACCTTTAGCTACCAGGGCTTTATGCAATTTCTATTATTTTTTTTTTAATTTCAGGACTAATGTAGTGATGAATTACACTGAGACTGAAGCCAAAGTCCGAGAGGCTACTAACGACGATGCCTGGGGCCCCACTGGTAATTATTTTAGATCATCCAGAGGTTTATCATTAATTAATTCTTATCAATTACCTGGGGCTCACGAGCATTTACTTGAATTTCGAATGACCATGAAATATTCCTGATTTCGAGATTAAATATCTCTCTAGAACGTTCATAAATATCTTATCTGCATGTCGTTTTACCCGAGATTATTTGGATTAAAAAGAGAAACTGTTGAGTTTTCTAGAGATAACCTTTACGGAAATAATATATTTATAATGAGAGTTGATTTTGTTGCGGGGAGAAAAGAAAGTAAATGAACACTCCCTCTCGCCATTACATTCGCCGTAATTTCGTTAATGGATATGGGGAAAAAAGAAATTGAGATAATAATCAATTCTGCTCTCGTTTCGTTCCATTGCCATCCATCAGGATTAAAACGAGGAGTAGAATCAGGTTGTTTTCATGCACAAATGTAACGTTGACAGGTGCTATGATGCAAGAACTCGCCCAGGCGACATTCACGTACGAACAGTTTCCCGATGTTATGTCAATGCTTTGGAAAAGGATGTTGCAAGAGAATAAACGTAATTGGCGGCGTACGTACAAGGTAATAACCCCCTGCGCCACTCAACCCGTTTTCGTTGGTTAAACAACGCTCAGAAAATCATTTATTATGAAAATTGAGAGATAATTGAATACTGGAGCATAAATTTATCCTTCTCAAAATATTCCTTTTTGTATTCAATATCACAATTATTTATTCCTTTTGAATTTCAGTACTCGTTTTCGAATTATATTTCAGTGAATGTGACTGTCAGCTCAAAGAAGATGACGAAATTTTCAAGTTTGTTTTTTTTTATCTGGGCCGTTAAAATATTTATCGAATTTCAGCCGGAAGTTGTTATCAAATAATAGATCGAAATTTCCGGGGCATTTGAAAATTTTTTTCTCTGGGCAATACAATGATACAAAATGGAATAACCGAATTGCGTTAATTAGTAGTTGCGGTTGAATTGTATCACTGAGAGAAATGAAAATTATTCCAGGCTTTACTCCTGTTAAACTACCTCGTTCGAAATGGTTCTGAGCGGGTCGTAACATCTTCACGTGAGCACATTTACGACCTACGTTCTCTAGAAAATTACACGTACATCGACGAAATTGGCAAGGACCAGGGTATAAATGTTAGGCACAAAGTACGTGAATTGATAGACTTTATCCAAGACGACGACAAACTGCGCGATGAACGGAAAAAGGCGAAGAAAAATAAAGACAAATACGTTGGAATGTCGAGTGACGCGATGGGAATGAATTTCGGTGGTGCAGATCGTTGGTCAGACAATCCAAAGTGGACGAAACCAACTGGAGAGAGTTACAATGATTGGGAGAGGGATACGAGAGGTCGTGGAGGCTTTGAGGATGGCAATAACAGTGATGATGGTGAGAGAGAGGACTCGGACAATGACAATCACAGCCCGAAGAAGGGAGAGAAGGATATAAAGGAGTCCATCGACGCATTGGACAAGCTCGAAAAATTTACGATATCGAATAAAAATTCCCCCAGCAGAAATCCCAGTCGTCCTGTAAAGAAAGTCGACCTGGGGGCAGCTGCGAATTATGGAAAGGATCAGAGTGCCAAAGGGAGTCCTGCTGTTGTCCAGGGGAATTTGATATCTTCCCCCATCAAGAGTCAACCGAAGAAGTACAACGATATCCTTAATGATTTATTTGAAACCAGCAATGACAACAGTAGAACTGCTATAGACAACGACGATGATTTTAATCCCAGGGAGAGTGATTATGTTCCTGTGGCCAGTCAGAACGTTGCCAATTCCAATTTTGGTGATTTCACTAGTGCTTTTGGGGGTACTAAGCAGGATAATGACGATCAGTTCGCTGATTTCACGAGTGCATTCAATTCTGGGGTTACGATAGGAGGCAATGATAATAATTGGGTTGGTGGGGCAAGTCCTGAGGCGGGAGGAAGACTGGAATCCTTGCAGAGCAATCAGGAGAGTTTGAGTGGGCATTCCAATACCGAGGATTTAATGGCTGGAAATGGCCTCAGTGGGAATTTCATGAGCAGTGGACCTGGAGTACTAACAAATCAGGGAGGGAGTAGAACTAATGGCAATAATAATACAGGTGAGGGGTTTATCGATATTTTATCGTAAAGTGGTGGTTCTGATTATTCAATTGTTCGTTTTTTTTTTTTTCATAGGATTGATGAGTGCTGATTTGCTGTCGGACTTTGGGAGCTTCAATACCTTCAATGCTAATTCACAGATTGGCAATAATGCTAATTTATTCAGTGCTGTCAGTGCCAGTCAACCTGCGAGTGAGTTTTTCTCGAATAGAATAGCAAGAAAATAATTTTTCAGTTGAAAATGTGAGTAATTGGAATTTATTTGTTTGATTTAGACACAGGATTGTTAGCGCCGACTCCAGTGAATACAAGAACACCTGGGGGAGCCCCTGAAATTACACCTGCACAAGTGGGTTCAACGTGGGCTGGGGCAGGACTTAAAATTGATCTCGATAATCTCTTGGGTAGCAAATCCAAACCCAGTGGACCTGCTCCAAGCATGAATCAACTAGCCACCAATAGCCCTCAACATCAACCTCGACCTCTTGGTAAAAAATTAAAAAAAATAAATCCATAATCACTTGCATGTCATCCCGTTACAATGGACTCCCGTTAACTACTCGAAACGCGAGAATATTTATCGAAGCGGGTACTAAACGGAAGTCCACTGTAAATAAATGAATTCATTATTTTATCTAACTCCTCTGGTTGGTGGATTCTCTTGACAGAGGATATTGTTTTAGCCTCCAGTATGAACCTTGGAACACCGATGATGCAGTCCCCAGGACAGACTAGTCCCAATTTTTTTCCAACATTTCCCTGAGACACTCACATTACCTCGAGTCAGCCTGGCAGTTTGTGAGTTTACTAATACCCACCTTCGATATTTTTACGTTTTTCAGGAGTTGTGCAGCTAAATATGAACTATTTTGCAATTGGAGATAACTTTGGAGCAATAATAATGTTTATTAAATAGTGAATTGAAGTTTCATGAATATTTAGAATTTTTTCAACAAAAAAAAAGAACTAAACAAAAATTTTGGTGCAATGAATAATGTCAGGAAAAATGTTATAAATTGAAATTGAATTGTCGAAATGACGAGACTTTAGTCATTTTTATCCCGATGAACTCCCCAATTGCAAAGTTCGTAGAAACATTTGACCTCAGTGTATGATACAGGAGACTTCGGAGCGAGACGTGAATAAATAGCCAAATGTCATTTTTTATAAAAGAAAATGTGAAAATAACGTATCACTCGGAGACGTCTTTCAAAGATGATAATGAAGTGAGCAAAAAAATTGTTACATATATATTATAAATATACATGGATAAATATGATATTGGACTAGTCGCTGTTGTACTACGCGACACCGAGAATAATTGACAATACGTGCTTCCTCAACACGAATTACATTTTTGCACTGGTGAAGAGTTGGAGATTGTTAGGAGGTAGTTGTACGAAATAGTGCATTACGTGCACAATCATTGTCTCTCATTGAAAATTACGTGGGGGAGAATTCAGAGTGATAATTTGGGAAAATAGAACGATAATGAGGACTAAAATTTGCTGTCTCAGCACAAGACAATGCGCAATAATTAGTATGTCAGATTGAGATGATCCGTTTTTATCCCAAAGATTTTCTAATCAAGTGAAAGCAATGCATTTCGATGGGTAAAGGAGGAAAATTGATATTTGAATGAATGCATTCCTCGAGAATGAGAATGAAATTACGATAAATTTAAATGGAGATGCGCATATCTTTAACGATTGATTCTTAACAACTGTCACTATTAACGAAGATAATTATTAGCTGTTAAATTACTAACATAGATCAGTAACTTAATCGTTAATTGCAGTTAATTTTATAGAGCAAATGGAGGAAACCAACTTATTTTTCGAAGCGAAAATTAACGCAGTGAATTGCTCTGAAATTTAACGATATTTCCACTTCAAGATAACGAAATTGAATAATGTGTTCGCAGGTACCTTACGAATGAGTGGAGCGTAATCATTCCGAAATTGATAAAATGTAGAATGTAATATATTGTAAAAAGAAAAGGGAGAGGTTATTGATCAGAATGAAAATCGGGACATATCCTTTAGATTCGAGTTTCCTTGGTTCAATGCCTGCGGTTATCCCTTGATGATATTTATTCGGTAATTGGCATTTCTAGTTCGAGATAATGTGATCATGATGAATAGACGCATCTGGCACACTTCCAAGTTCATTCTGCTGCCAATAAATTTCCATTTCAGTCAGGCATTTCTCTATTTTTTACAATCGCACCCTGAAATGGAGTTTTATCAATTTTTTAAAATAATTCAATAGCGAAATGTAAAGTGAAATAACAATTTGATATTTTTCTTGATCATCGATTTATCTCAGGAATGATATTTTGATATCAATCGGTATTTAATGAAACTGCAGAATTAAATTATCTGACTGCATCACTTCGCTACTCAATTACTAAAAAATTGGAGTATTAATTTTTTCTGAGGTTCTCTTATATCAATTAGGTTTCGTTTAATTACGCATTTACCGCGTGCAAAGTGGCAAGATTTCCGACAGTATTAGGATTCTATATATTCCTATAAATAAAAGGTGATACACCAAAATTAAATTGTCGAGGATAAGATTTCGGGGAACTCCATACGCAGGACTTATCACGCGTCATCCTGTCCCATTGGCCATTCCAAATAAAATTAATTTCTCATTGGTCAATTGACAATGTCAACATCAACACAACGGAATCAAATTACGGGGGCGGAGCGCGCATTCGATCTCGTGTAAACAAAATCATCCTATATATAAAAGGTGATACACCAAAATTAAATTGTCGAAGGTAAGATTTCGGGGAATTCCATACGCAGGACTTATCACGCGTCATCCTATCTCATTGGCTATTCCAAATAAAATTTATTTCTCATTGGTCGATTGGCAATGTCAACATCAACACAGCCGAATCAAATGACGGGGGCGGAGCGCGCGTTCGGTCTCGTGTAAACAAAATCATGTAAATAAACTCGCAGGATAGAGTAATCCACAATACGAATAATACATCACAAGAGACGAGAACCTTGAGAAATAAAATGGAGGAAAATTGAATGGTTGTGTCAATTGATTTTCAAGAATAGAAAGGAAAGTAATTATAATTCTGCATATACGTGATTTTTCTTCTGAAGTGATTTACAAAAAAAAACGTACGAATTCGTTTAGTTCTTTCGTTGAAACGAGCGATAAATAAATTCAAGTTGATCATGTGTATTTTTCACTGTACATAGTATGAATGTTATAACGAGGAAGGGAATTTTCATTGTGAATATTCGTACGAATCAATGGTGAACGTGCAACGATTAGCATGGTTTTCCTCAACTGTACAATTATATTAAGAAAAATACAAATGAATAATCATTAAACGAATTTTATTTTTTCGTATCGATTGAAGACATTCTGTTTATACCATTGTATTCAATTCTGTGGTTGTAGTTATGTTGTCGATAGTCTTTATTTTTATTTTTCATTAAAAATGCTCATTGGTGCTGGTGTTAAGTGTCGTTGCATTTTTTTCATCCTCAATTATTTTTATCAGGATAATCAAAGGAGGTGTAACGCATTGAGGATTTCTTTATTCATTACATCTCCCTGAAATCCTGGTGAGAGAAAAGAATTTCAAAATGATACCAGAGATCTTTACGAAATATATAATATATACTTATAGTTTCAATTGGAATTGGAGAACTCAAAGTCTTTGTTTCATTTGCCTGTCAAAGTTTACCTATTGTACCTTAATAAAGTCAGAATTATTTTAAAAAACTATTTTCCCTCGTTAATATCTCTCCAGATATATTTTTCATCTCTGCTAATTGCAAAAATTGATTTATCTCACTTCCCCACAGGGTCGATCAAAAATGTATTTATATATCACGAAGGGATGAAAAAAAAAATTACTCAGTAATGCTCTTGGACTTCTTTTTCTTCTTCTTCTTAGGAGGTGCCTCCTCGGCATCCCCATTCAGCTCTTCCTTTCCATTTACCTCCTCCCCGTTGGCCTGGCCATTGACTTCCCCATTTTCCCCAGCGTCCTCATTCTTCCTCTTCTTGGCTTTCTTCTTCTTCTTCTTACTCGACTCCTCATTCTCCACCGTTTTCTCCTCTAGACTTCCAACAACCAGAGCCGCTTCCTCCAGAGCTTCCTTCATGACGTCGATATTCTTCTTGGGTATATCCCCAGTTTCGTAGAACTTGAGCCTGTCCTCGACCTGCTGCCTGAGCTTCTCCCCGAAGACTGTGGTGGGGATGTCAGTGAAGCAATCGATTCTGGAAGCAATGGAGCACTTGTTGGCGAGATACCTGGAGATTCTCCCCTTGTTCTTGGTACCTGCCCTTCCGATAAAAGTCGAGTGGAAGAGAAGCCCGTACTTCGGAGTATTGCCCTTGGTCTTGAGTGCCCTGAAGAGGGCCTTCTCAGCCCCCAGAATCTGCACTGTTGACGCAGGGTATTTTGCCAGATTCGTCAACGATCCAGCATGAGCAATCAGACGAGCTCCAACCTGATCTCCAATGAGGGTTGCCAGGTTGGGAGCAACTCCACTCATCTTCGTCTTCAGGTACTCAGCCAGTTGTTTTCTGTAATCAGCAAGGGCTATCACTCGTCCAGCGAACATCTCGATGTTCATGAGATCAACTGGGGATATGTCCATTCCCATGGATGACTTCGAGGCTGCGATGATAGCCTGCGCCTTTCCACTGTCCATTACGATCTCCTCGAGTGCCTCCAGCTTCTCATCGTTCAACTCTTTCCTATCTTTTATCAGTTTAGCCACTTTGGCGTAGGTGTAGTTCTCGGGGATAATTTTAACGAGCTCTGGAAAATGGTAGCTGTACCACTCGCGAATTCTCATGCTGAAGGTGTTTACGTCCTTGTCCAATTGATCTAGCAAGGCGATACTCTGGATTATCATGTTATCGACTCTGTTAACGTTGAATTTAACTTTAGCTCGGGAATAGCTGTGACCCAGACCCAACTGGGCAACACCTGAGCTCTGCGCTGTCAGCCCCTTCACCAGGTGATGGAAGTGGAAGCGAATACCTCGGATTATCTCAGGAACTGCACCGGTGTGATCGCATTTTATGTTCAAGGCCTCGGTTATACTTGCACCGAGCTTTGGATCTGATACCCCCAAAGTATATTTTGATTTCTTCTCGGATTTAGGTATGCACATGTCCAGGAACAGCTTCAGATCCTCGGGGACGATACCCTCGGAGATGCTGTTGATGCTCTCCAATGCTGCCAGGGCGGTTTTAAAGGGGGAAAAACCCACGAGTTTAACGATTGCATGGAAACGAGACAGATCTGTTACTGATGCCTCCACCTGGGGCAACAGCATCCCAATCTCCTCGAACTCCTTCACACTGAACACCGCGTACCCCGCCGCGTGCTCGTAGAGGATGAATAACTTCGTCTAGAATTATTGATTTTCATCATCAAGTGTCTTATTTTAGTGTAGACAATGTTCGAAACTTTAGATATTAATTAAAAGACATGAAGAATTATGATTTTTGTAGTTCTCAATTGACAACACACTTTCCGGAAGATTTATTTTTTAATAATTTTCAGGGTGTTACAAAAATTCATCAGCCTTATGTGAAAATCTCATCAAATGAATTTTAATCAATTAATTAAATCTCATTAATTCCCCCATCAGAGAATATGAAAAAACTTTGTTTTTAAATAAGTTATGTTTCAGTCACTTAACCTCGACCCCTCGCTTGACAGAAATCACGGCTTCATTTTGCAATAAACAATCGTAATAAAATACTAACCATGATGAGTGACTGCTCACCACCCTCGAGAGTACTTGAAAACTATTTATTTCGTTAGTTGATACGAAATTACAGCATCTTATCAGCAATCAAACAGCAGAAATACCACCAACACGTGAATAGTACACATGTGCCTGATATGCTCGCGCCTACCGGAAGTACCACGTGCGGTCAAAATGGACGCCCAGAAACATCCGCCCACCATCTGATTTCCTCTCACCTACAACTATTCCCATTGGTCCCGCAATTTTTGGAATAACCAGCGGATTTTTCAAATGGTTTTATAAATGACACGTGATAATTTATGGATGAGTAATTAAATATCATTGCATATGGATTTTTTATTTCATTCATTTAACGATTTTCTTGGAAATTTAAAAATTCTGGGATTTAAAAAATTGGATATACCCTGAACTAGTGGTTATAAAAACGAAACAAAGATTATTTGATAAAAAAAAAGTGGAATTATCAATATTTTTTTTAACTAATTGGAAAATTTGAATGACGTGATATCACGGATTTCCGGTGTGTGCCAAGCATGGCGGATTACAGTGAATAGTAGTGATAGTGGTATTTAGTGGTTTGGAAAGGACGCATGCTCTAACTCCAACACTTCGACAAAATTTGAATGGCAATCAATATGGCGGCTGTTGCCAGGAGCTGAATCCTCCAAGTGCTACCCAACCTCAGGTACTTGAACTGTTTTTCTTATTTTTCATATTTTTCTGAGTGACACGTTAACTAGGGTATGCGTTGGCCGACAGCCCCGGGTATTTATACGGAATGAGACTGTTAGTAATCGATAACGACGAAACAGTGAGGAGTGGATTTCCCTAGTTCTCGGTGTGAAACTACTGTGGTTTTCATTAAGAAAATTCATTGTTCCCGCCCGTTACTGTTATTCCATGACCTTCGAACACATTGTCGCGATTTGAGGACTTTCTTTTTTTTGTTTTCCTCTAATTTCGTTGAACCACTAGGCTCGAGTGATTGTTTACAGGCGAGATCAACATCGAATTCCCTGTTGTTTGGTACATTGTTTTTTTTTTTTAGAGATAGTAGAAAGTGGAATAAATTGAGTTTACAATTTTATCAATTATTGATTCATCTCGGAAGGATGGGATTTAAGCGAGAAACATCAAAGAACTTCTTGGTCGTTGATTTAATTTTCGAGACAAAAGGTCTATTCATGTTTCGTGCTAAAATCATCAGGATTTGAGATTCAGGATATTTGAAACTGTTGTCAAGGTCTACTTATTTCACTTTAGTATTTTGCTAGTCGCTTAATGAGATGGGGGATTATGGTGGGATTTATTATGCGAAATTACAGGAAGACAGGAAAACGATGTTGAGGGGCGACTTGCGGGGAACTGTCAGCATTCCGGTATTACGTGAAATTAAACTCGGATGGGAATATATAATCATGAAGAAAATAATCATTGTCAGTGGAAAATTGAAGAGAAAGGACTTGTAATATTCACGCGTAAGTGACTGATTCTTGTCTTTCGGTTCAGCGTTTTGAAAAAAAAAAATACTCGTTATGGATAACGATTTTATTGTTCTAGCGCTTAAAATCTTCCGGAAGAAAAACGGATTCAACAATGAGGAATTAGAAATAAAAAACAGTTTGAGCTCAAGAAAAAAAAATATTTATCAGAACAACAAACTAAGGTAATGCTGATTCAATTGTTTTCAATGTCTGAACATGAAGTCTGAGCGCTCATATGGTTTTTCGATAAATAAACAATCAAATTCAAATAGTTCAATAGTTTATTGTTTTCTCGTTAAAAGTTCAGAGTTAAATTTGTTGTAACGATAATTGAAGAATGCTTTTCCCTCATTTTCTCACTTTATGAGCAATTTATGATCAACAAGGAAATAAAATTAAAAATCGATCAATATTTTTAAATTCAACCTTGAAGACACGGAATGAAGAATAAATTTGATAACAGCAAAATCACTTCCATTTCATCCTGAAGATGCAATATTCCGCATTTGTCGAACAGCAGCTACGATACGGGCATTGCACCCTGAGCTACCGGACTGATAATCCTCCGGTGACAATCTCAACAGTGTAGACATCTGCTGAAGATTGTCTGACAGGGGTAGTCCCAATTCCTCGAGGACATTCCCCAAATAATCTGCAATACAAAGATACAAGTAAAAGCGAATAACGTTTACAATTTTTCATTCGCCAAAAAAAGCAAGAGAAACCTGACAAAATGTGGAATATTCTCACCAATATCAGTAGCAAGCTGTTTGCAAGCTCCAGTATTGAGTTCGCAAATTCCCAGTGCCTGATCCTGAAACATCTGACAGGTCCCCTTGGCGACGATTCCTAGCAAAGTGGCAGTGAATCCCCCCTCAGCACTTCCCTGTGTGTACTGAGCATCAGCAGCCCTGAGTGCATGCACCAGACTGGGATTATCCCTGAGGAGGAAAGGCTCCAGGTGTTGTGGCAGTGTCATGAGGTACTGCCCCACTTGAGTGATATACTCCTGAGGAGCAAAACTGTAATCAGGAAGATCAGAGGATAAACCCTGGACCTTCGCACCGTCTCCAAACCAGGCTGGAGCCCTCTGAATGAGCACCAGTTGCGTAAATATAGGAGCAAAAATCACTTCGTAAGTGGTGTGATGGAGATCGGCGCACAGTTTATAGATAGATTCAATCACAGATGCTAGTAGAGTTTTCTCCTCGTTCTGATTCAACGATTTCACCAGCTTGTCGAACTCCTGACGTCCGTTTGGAGTTAGCAGCAGAATTTTGAACTTGCTGAAGGACCCTGCTGTTCCACTCTGCAGCTTGTTGCTTGCCTCGACGATACTCACCACAAGTGTCTTCTCGAACTCCTCAATCTGAACCAAAAAATCACCGATTATCTGCATCAAAGTCAGACACATCTGGAAGAGATTCCAGTCGTCGTGTTTCGTTTTTCTCTTCTCCAGTTGCTTCATGCAGCTTATAAATCTGTCTAGGTACTGGAGAAAATAGGTATTGAGGGATTTCAGGAGTCCTGGATATCCACAGCTCTCGGTGAAGAGCTTGCACCTCTTGTTTGCCTGATTTGCGTGATCGATTGCTCTTGAAACACTCAAGGAGAGTGAATTTATCGTATCGCTCAGGCTCTCGTGATTCGTCTCGATGGAACTAAGATTTTCAGACAATTGTCCTGACTCATAGGTCGAGTACTTGGACACTGGAACGACGTAGGGAGAATAAATTGACTGGGCAAGGGCCAGTAGCTTATCCTCGGATTTCAAATGAATTGGGGAGATCTCCAGGGATGCGTTGAGGTTTCGAGCGAAATTCTGGGTTATCTTCTTGAGCTCGATGAGGAGATCCAGCTGCAGGGGAGGTGACAGATACTTCAGGGCCCCGGTAATGGTGTCGTGGATACTGGGGTCCAGGGAACACAAAACATCTGCATAGATATCTATCAAGGTCACTGTGGAACTGGTGGAGAACACCTGGTTGCACCACTTCACCTGATCCTGCCATTCCAACAACAGTTTGTCGTAGAATGTGTTCAACCAGGAGGTGACGTTGTCCTCCATTGAGACTTCACGAATCTTTCGCCATTCCTCGCAGAGAGAAACTTTCAAGCAATTTTGATAGTATTTCAGAAGCTGAGGGAGTCGATCCATTTTACTGAAGATATTCACGTAGATTTTTGACTCGTCTGGGAAGAAAACAGAAATTACTGTTCACCTCGCGTTCTTTTATTGTAAGAATGAAGAGAAAATTAATCATCACCTAAATTTCTAATTGTGAAGGCCTGCACCAATTTTGGACTGGCCATCGCCTCAAGACGATTTTTCAATCCCTCGAGTTGCAATTTTTTATCTTCATAATCAACAGCATTCGCTAACATGGACAGGGATTTTTGCATCGAGAAGACTTTCCCTCCAATTTTCTCGATATCACCCGATTCGAAGACCTTGAGTGGAAGTTGAAAAAATTGGATGGAGAAATGAAATTTTTTGTTTAGTAAAGAATTAAATTATTGATGAACATGTAAAACGACAAATTCACCTCTTCAAGATCATTAGCAAGTACACTCCAATTATCTGCCTCATGAAGACTCTGTTTGGCAACCTGAAGCTCAGTTTTCACTCTAGCCATTTTTTCCAGAGCTGTCATGGACAAGGCTGTGTCCTTTTCCACCTTAAACCGACATTCAATGGTAAATCGGGTGAAATTAGTCATAAGCCTGCGGTAATCTCAGTTAGGTGTAATTTTGTGGTGATCACCTTTGCTATTTCTTGTTTGACAGTTGCCATCTTATCTTTGAGCGCCAATGCCTCCTGTTGGAGTAGCTGAGTGTCCCTGAGAATCCTGGGGAGACTCGAGAGGACAGACTGGCTCGTTTCTTCGAGGGAGCCATTGACTTGTTGTACGTATAGTTGAAGTTTCATTACCAACGAAGACACGAATGCCTTTAAAAATCATACTACAGCATTTCCTTCTTTCAACTCTCCATCAATTGTAAGAACAATATTTCTCCATTAATCTCTCCATGGGAAACTTATTGCTCCCATTTTACTACTCATTACACCATGGAGAAAATACTCTTCACTAAAAAGATTGAGTTCATTCCAGAAATCATTATCTTTCATTAACGTCATTTAAATGTCATTTTCCATGGAATTATTATTTTTCTAAACATTTGTTGTTGAAAAAAAATTGTAATTTTTCTCAGATTAAAAGGAAATGTTTACTAACGATTTAATCTCGAAATTAAAATTCAAAGCTGCTAAGTTTGAGTATTAAATGAGGCTCGAGTAAAAGCTCTGATGTTCGACAACAAAAGTAGAAAAGAATTTATTAAAGGAAAATACTGCCAAAGGATATCTTTAACGCAAATTACCGGCGGTTTCAGCTAGAAAATTCTCGCGAGTAATTGCGACCCTAACAAAGCCACAAAAATAGCTCTTGTTAATCAGAGTCAATGCACGTCCAGCAATTCGCAGTATAAAAGAGAAAAAAAGGAGGGGAAAAAAAACTGCGAAAAAAAGAGCAGAACTGAATCATAAAATAGGAATTGAATTCCATTCGACGGTGTAGGGCTTATTCTCGAGAAATAATCGAGGAGAATTTTATTATTGTTGATGAAAAAAAAAAAAAACTTACGAGTCATCGGACTCTTGCAATTATTATAATTAATGAAGTTATTTTTCAAGTGAGCAACACATTTTTGCCAGCAATCACAATCAATTCTCGTTTGATAACAAATTCAAACAGAGAAAATCGAATAAACAGAGTCGAAAAAATGGATGAAATAAAAAAACGGGGGAAGAAAATACGAGTTATCATTAAAAAAAGCGAACGATGTCATTGACCGCTGTGTCAATGAGACGAGAGCCGCTTGGTCACTCGGTTAACTCACAAATGCGCCATTCAATTTCAAAAAACACTTCATGAACCTCAAATTGCCGCTCTCAACGCCTAAATCCAGTGAAATAACAAACCAGTCCGTTCCAAGTTAAAGTTATTGCAAATCAAATGTTTATTAGCCAGTGACTCACGTCTTTGTCTTCCAGTTCTTCAGTTGATTTGAAAGTTTTGTTTATCCATTCTTTAACATCAAAATCCTTCTCCGAGAATGCTGACACGTCCTGGAACCATCGATTTGAGGTTAGTCTCCATATCTTCTTTTCTTATTTTTTCATTAAAATTTTTTTCAGTTTTATTCTCAAATTATTTCCTCAATAGTCTCATTCATCGTGATTTCCGGTGTCTGAGAGGAAATTTTAGGAACGAGAGGAGACGTTTCGAGAGTTAAATCACGGGACATTTAATTGATAAATTGTACGAGAAATCGAGGAGTCACCTCGATATGTCTTACGTTATTTCCACGTTTTTTTTTTCTTTTTGGGGAGGCACTCACCATATTTTTGACGTGCGAATTATCAAGTCTCTATATAGTACAATGTATTTTTATTTGATGACGTTTTCCCGGAAAACAACAGTCCGTGGCCAGAGCATTAAGGCATGCGTAGCATTACGACTGGATAAAGTAGAAAACTGAATTGTCAATGGATATTCGTATTGTCATTTGAAATTTAGCAATAAGCAATTTTGCAAGAGTTCCTTTTTTTTTCGATTTCAATTCGATTACGATTTTCATTTTCACTTCGCCATTATTGTTTTCTCCTCGATAATTTAATTATGTTTATTTCCAATCTCATCGACGGTGCAGTTATTATAATAGTTGTTATTGCACAAGAAGCAATTGTTTCACTTCGTACCCAATAGCATCGGATTTCGTAGCCTTCTGTCAATTTTCCCATTCAATTTTTATTCGAAAAAAGTACTCAGACCATGAAGCAATTATTCTCAATGATTATTTTTCGCAATTTCTGCTCTCCCTTTTGTTCGGAATATATGAAACAAAATGAGTTTTAACAGTTGAGCAATCACTGGTACGAGTAAACAAAAATAAATGAATTAAAATGGGCGACAGTAGAAATTGAAACTGGAAATTTAAAATGCAATTTCAGGGGTGAGAAATAATTACTGATGCTCTTGCATTAAACTTACTGATCCTAGCCGCGTGTCCAACAGTTTAGAATTTATCTCAATTTTCAAGAAAATATTATGAAAAAATTATCCATAATATGACCCACAGCAATGAGTCGGGCTTTTAATGAAAAATAAATGCTAATAAAAAAGAAAAGAGACGAGAAGAGGAGAATTAAATTCCCTGCATCGTTAATAGGAAACTAATTAACGATTAATTTTGCGGTCACCCCTTTCCATCTCCGGTGAAAACCGATAGACCAGAGTTTGCGCATGAAAAAATGAATAAAAAATCATAATAATAATGAAAGAACGGTTTTTCAATTATAATTAAATTAACGAAGTTGCCTGGAGAGAAGGGGCGGAACGGAAAGGGGTAGGGGGAAG